GAGGAGGAGGAGGAGGAGGAGGAGGAGGAGGAGGAGGAGGAGGAGGAGCAGGAGGAAACAAAAGCAGAAACAAAAACCCTTTTCTGTCTGTAATACTGAAGCTTAATAAGAGTTCTTCCACTCTACTCCACTCTCTAGGGCAGCTTTTCCCAATGCAGTGTCCTCTGGTTGATAATCCTGAGTTATAGTCTACCATATTTGGAAAGTCCCACGTTGGCTGAAGGCCGTTCAAAGGGAATAAAGTGAATGGTAGCAAATATTTGCAAGCTACATTTGCAAAATGTGAGCAAGAGATATAATGTGCCCTCTTTTAAGTTATTTTGAGTCCACTCGAGTTCCTTGCAGTTAAAGTCCATGAGTAGACACAGTAGGCAAAGAGATAATTGAGTTACCTCTTCTGAACATCTCATACTATGTTTAAAATCTTTTAAACACTTAAGCATCACAGACTGACTTCTTCTCTTTATGATAAGATTTCCTTACCTTTGGAGTAGCAACATGAAGATTCATCCCAAATTTAGCAGCAGTCAACAGAATAGAGTTCAGAACATTGTTTCCATCACCTATCCAACTGAGGGTCAATCCATTCAAAGACCTATAGTGTTCCTATCCTCAAAAATAAATAAATAAACCACACACACACACACACACAAGAATATAGAAATTGTGATCTTTTTAGATAAGGAGCAGAAAGAAAAAAGATAATAGTTAATTTGGCCAGCAATGGTGCTACATACTTGTTAAATTTAAATAATATTTTAAGAATAAATTACAGCTAATAATTTGGCAATAAGAATTGGTTCTGGTCCATTAAGTGTCAATCTAAATTTCACTTGCTCTGGGTTCCTTATTTCATACATTTCAGGGTATTGTATTTTGTTAATACAATTATTATTACAACTAACTTTATTGTTAATGTATTACCATTTTAGCCAAGGCTAAGGTAATACATTATTATTATAACAATAGATAGAAATTCATATTTAACCTTGCAATAGCTTTTTTTTTTTTTTTTGTAGATTGAAATGCTTTCAGCATAATAGTCTTGGATAATTCCAATAGCCATTGCTATCCAATAAAAATTTATTCTCTATTAAATATCTCTAATCCCTCAGCACAGAATAGACAAAATTATATCAGATGATGGAAGCCAAGTATTAGCTCCCATCCGTTGCATCTGTCCTTCTACGCCACAGAAACTAAGGGAAAAAAAGAGAAAGAAATATGGATGATATTGCAGGTATTCCAAGGAGTAACTTATATGGGGATGTATTAGTACAGCAAGTAGGCAGTGAGTTACTATAAAAAAATAGTAAGTCATGTAATAACTGAAAACATATCAATTCTTGACCATAAAATATATTCTAAAAGTGACAAAGGGATAAAAGAGAAAATTCCAGACAAATAGAAAATATGAAAAGGGCTTAATAAATTCTACACTGTTATGAAATTACATGGTGTTATACCTTTCAAAGCAGCTTAAGCAGGCTGACTGCTTCTCATTTTCAATTAGAGTATTTGCTAGTCTATTACTATATAGTTGTTCAATTAGCTCTTCATCTATATTTATTGTAGAAAAAAACAATCACAATACATGGGTATACAGGAAGGCCTTCTGTGCATAGTGCAGAGCTCTCATAGCATTTTAGATATTCTGAAGGGACATTCTGGTATTTCTTTCATGTGTACTGAAAGACACCCAGTTAAAGTTGATTTGTGTGATTCATCCAGGCAAAGAAATGACTGCACTTTAAGCAGCAAGCAGTTGCTAGATCATTAAAAGAAGGCTGCCTATTTTTCATTCACACATTATATATTTTTGTATAAAACAATTATGCAAGGGAGTGTATATAAACATTATTTCATACAAAATATAGTGGTACTGAAAGAAAATAAGCTGAATGGGTACAAGCTTTCATATATGAAGGTTAAATCACCTTTGGGCTTCTTATTTGTTATTATGTGAAGCCTTTGGAATTTGAATTAATTCCAGCAGCTTTGAAAAATATCTGTATCCAGTAAAATGTTTCTTGTATACATATGATCCCATTGACATGAGATAAAGAGGGATAGAGGATTTCAGTTGACAGGAATGGGAAGTGAGGCAAAAGTGCTGCCAGAAGCCAACACCCCAACTCTCATAAGCCTTTGGTTTCACTCCCTATTTTGGGAATATGACTTCAAAGATTCGGACATGTAGGAAATAGCAACAATCACAAATGTTTAGACTGTCCTTGATGATCTGGCACCAGAGTAGTCAATGTTACCAGCATCTCTCTGGTCTAGGAAGTCTCAGTGCATCCAGCTGAGAGATTCCAGGCTAGGTCTTTTTAACTAAAGAGGTTCTGCTTGCTAATGTGAGAAATTGTGGGAAAACTGGGAGCAAGGCAATTTATCTCAGGAAAGGCAACTCAGTCCGAGTGCTTTGAGATCTGGGGAAAAACACTTTGAGGAGATCCCATCTTAATTAACCTACTACAACTGAAGCTGGTAATTTCAATTATTGTTTTCAAGATTCTCTATTATCCCAGGTTAGCATTAAAGATACCTTACTGAAATCTGTGTCCTTCTTGCTTCCTTGGTTCCTGTGTCAAAGAACTTGACAACTGGAGCCACTGCTAATCATCAAATTAAGTTGTAGCCCTCCTTCAAGTTTGGGCAGGGCTTTCTTGATGTTGAACTTTAGCCTAAACTATACTTGGAGCTCTCCAGGGTGCTACCTATTTGCTTACCTTACAGAGCTGACTTCTTTATCAGAAAATGAACCTTTTCGGACTTGAAGTTTTCTTACAGAGTGTAAACTTGTTTTACTTTGTCTTGCTATTTTAGCCAGGAACCAAATTTATGTCTAGTGCATCTGCACATAGATACACTACTAAAATTTACTCTGACTGGGATCAGTGCCTGGAAGAAAAGACCAGTTAAGCTCCTGAAGAAAATAATTAAAAATATATAGCATCTATTGTATATAGTGCACTTCTCTGTATATGATCTCTACATTTCTTATGACAATTTTATAAAATATATCAATATTATTACCCATATACAACATATGAGAGCGAGAGGAAGGTAGTAACAGCAGCTTGGTGGAACATTGCATCTGAAGTAAGATTTGAAACAGGAATTTCTTAACTCCAGTTCAAATCTGAACTCTCTAAAATAGACAATTGTCTATATATTCTTACTACTCAAGTAGGCTGAACTTTTTAGAAGAGCACAAATTGTTAAAAGCTATATTGTTAATCAAAGAATAGAAAGCTATTACCTGAAGTGTAAGATAATCAGCTAAAATCTGGACAGGATGATCAGAATCAGACAATCCATTTATCACTGGGATAACAGCTTCTTCTGCCAATGTGACTAGGTCACAATGTTTATATACTCTGGCCAGGATTGCATCTGTCATGGATGACAACACCCTATAGAGAACAAAATATAAAAGCCTATGCAATGTATCAATATTCCTTCTACCTGAATAATGTTAACCACTTTACACACTTTAAAAATGTGTAGCGCTAAATGACCATGTGCATGAGATGCACACGCACATATACAGTATAAATGTGATGTTATGGAAAAGCAGGCACTGGCTGAGTTCACACATAGTTCTAAGTTGTTGTTTTGTCATTGCTGAATAAACCTCAATTGGCTGACTTTGGCCATAAAAATAGGTTGTAACTGCTAGATTCATATATCATATTTATTCAAAATAAGCAAATAACATTATTGCTTAGGGTGATGTATGACCTCAGCTACTGACATTAAAATATACAGTACATCATTTAAAATACGCAAAGAAAAGTAACTAGTCTTTACATCCTTACAATCCAATTGTATATGTGCCTATACACACACACACATAGACACACACAGAGTTTAAGAAGATGAAGGATTTAAATAACATTTAATCCTATACTACAGAATCTAATGGATTTGGTCTGTGGGGAACATCTTTCCCAGAACAATGGTATTCCTGATAAGTGCAGAAGATAGTCTGCATAAACTGTGGTTTGATATATATTATATTGTAGTGCCTTTTTAAAAATTTCCTTCTAATTGTTGAGGTTTTTCTTATACTGAAATACATTGTTACTGTATTTAGTTTTGAATTTATCAAATTAAGTGGGAAAATTTATCTTTATTAGAAGAGCTTTTCCTTTCTTTTCTGATCAACTTACCTCCACCATTCAGTACCATGTTTTTCTGAGTAATAGTTGTAATTTTATAGCACACTTTAATCCCTGTCCCTGCTTCAAACTAAGTAGACTTTATTTTTCTGGCAATGGACAGAATTCAACAAAATCAGTGCAGTATCCACACAGATAAGTCGATAATTTATGTTTTTGGTTTTTTTTGGCTGCTCCCAGTCTTTATCCCAATATTGGGACCTATATTGGGCAGTATATTAAAATCTATCTTACCTTCCTCTTGCCCATGTTTTAGGAAGGGTGCCATTTCTTACTTTAAAAAGTGTCAAATGTACAATTCTAATGTCCTTAGAATCAAGCCAATCAATTCTGTTGTAGCATCAACTTGAACACACAGAATTAGTTTTTTCCCTTCAATCTTCTTTGGTGAGAGAAAATCTAATCTGTGAATAAAACTCAGTGAGTTTTAATATTTACATTATCTAAAAATGTAAAAGAAAATGAAGAGTCACAGAATATTCTACAAACCGTGCTGTGTCAGAGATGCTTTCATTGACACCCAGGTGAATATCTTGTACCGTAAGGAAACACGGATGTCCTCCAAGAAGTGCAAACCCTAAAACAAACAAACAAACAAACAAATAAGTAAACCTCAATAGCATTTGCTATGCACTTAGATATTCCAGCATCTTCTACATCACAGAAATTCTTCTACACAATGAGTCTGTTCTGGTTCAAAGATGTAATAATATGAATAGTCTGACTCCAAAACTCTACCAAAAAATTAGGGCAAATCTCTGGGGAAAAAAAATCCAATTTCCAGAAGGAATTTTAGTAGCACCACAAATCTTTGATTTTTAAAAGAAGGAATCTATAAAACTATGACTATCTCCTAGGACTATGCATTAATCCAGATTCAAAGAAGAAAGTGTGATTTGGAATTCATGTGAGAATGCACATAGCCCCTCCTTAAATCAAATGAACTTTTTGCAGTGAAAATACATGTTTGCATGTTACATACCAAATTTACTTGCATATATTCTCTAGAATTCTCTTATCAACCTGAGAAGTAAGTAGTAATATGTAAAAAGCTGCAACTTGTAGGGATGGAAAATATTTGTGCCCCATGTTTTGTTGGATTCAGTTCCAGTCAGCATGAGTTTGCCAGAGGAGCTCAGGGTATATGTGGAGATCCAGTCCCCTGTTTAGAGTTTACAGGATCTAGGCACATAGTCTTATATCAATGTGATAATATAATATAATAATACAATATGTATTTATGTATGTAAAAAAATAATATAACCCTTACATCAATATGGTAATACTGTCAATGCCTTTCAGTATTGTCTGCTCCAGTATTCCCTAACCATTGGTCTTCCAGATGTAATACAAATCAGTTCCCATAATTCCTTGCCAGCCTAGAATTATGACATAATCCAATATATGTATAAGGCACTAGATTGGGGAAAGCTGGCCTATTTCAACAGTCAGAAGCTCTTCAGGGTCTCATTACAGCTCTTCCCCTTACCTGCTGTTTGATCCTTTTAATGAGAGGTTATGGAGATAGAACAATGGTCCTTGAAGCATATGCTTCACTGCTGGATTACTGTCTCTCCCCAGTCAGTTTAACTAGTCTGGTTGTCTAAAGACTGATTTGTTTATCCAGAACTATTTTTAAAAAAATGTGTTATCTACAAACTGAGTTTATACTTGTTAGACACAACAAAGCTTATAGATATGATGAAATGTCCTTGTATATTACAACATCAGGGTTTATTTGGAAATCAGTATTCTACTGAACCTTTGCTACCATTGACTTCAATGGAACTGTAACTGTAAATGGCATGGGACTAGGTTATCTGAGGGACCGCCTCTCCCTGAGTATATCAGCCTGCCCCATTAGATCCGGCAGAAAGGGCATCCTGCAGATACCATCTGCCAGGGACCTACATTTGGTAGGTCCCAGGCAGCAGGCCTTCTCTGCTATGGCACCCACCTTATGGAACATTCTCCCCCCACCCTGATATTAGGTCAGCTCTGTCCCTTTTGCTGTTCCAGAAGTCCCTCAAAACCTGATTATGTCACCAGGCCTGGGGGTCCCAGGGAGCTGAAGATTTGTCTAGAAGGCTCTACTATTGATGTGGGTGTACTTATTCTCTCTCTGCCTGGGGTTTTTATTTAT